TAAGCCTGTTTTCAATTATTAGTGACATAATATTATTAATGAATGAGAACAACATTTCGTTTCTGTCCACTGAAACTAACCTGTGAGTTCTGAGAAACAACAGCTCAGATATTTACAAATCAGAGCTCCTTATTTTTTAATTAAACTATTTTTTTTACCCAACAACAGAGAATTAAATCCAGATTAAAAGGAGAAAAATGAGTTTATGAGAATAATGTTATAATATTAAATGAATAAAGACACGGAGCATTTCCATTAAATTTAATTGAAAATAAGATTTAACTAAATTTGGTCTCTGTCTGTATATAATGAGACATCATGCATAAATAAAGGCTGAAATCCTCAAACAGGAGGAACCCTGAATACACACAAATACTAAACTACAGAGTGAGGGACCCTGAGCGCAGATAAAAACACACTTTACTGAGGAGAGAGGACCAGAACTCTGACCCTGCAGGTCCAAACCCGGGTCCCCACAGACGACTGCTGACCCCCCAAAAGTTTATCTCTCACTTCAGCCTAAAAGAAAAATGAACAAGTTCTTAAAGCTCCTCTGAGAAGTTTGTGTAATCGTCTGAAATTCACCCTGATGCTTTTTCATGAGACCACTGATCGTCTGTATTTGACCCTTTTTATTGTCTGCAACAGGTGTGAGGGGTTAGTGAAGAAAACAGCCCTGATTTTACAACATGAAAGACTCACTATAGACTAAATATTTTTCTGGATACGACTTTAGACCCGACTTTAGCAGGTGGAGGAGAAGATAAGCACAGGCTGGTTAGAGGTTCCTCACCAAAAGGAGCTTTAAAGAAAGAAAAGAGCTCTAAATGAAACTGAAAATATCTAAAAATGTGAAAAAAGACAGACTCCAGGTGCCTCACTACTGTCCTCATGTTCACCATCTGACCCAGATCCTGAACAGATCCTGAACAGATCCTGATGAGAGCTAATGAGTGGAAATGATGGACCATGCTCCTCACTTACAGACCTTCATCCTATCACCTTTCCTTAAGTCCTTTCCTTCACAACCTTCACTGACCTAACCCCCACATGTTTTTTTTTTGTTCATGCAGGGAGAATTTCAGTCCAGCTCCTGCTGAGAACGGTGAATTATAAAAACAGAATAAAGATGGAAAGATGGGTGAGACTGAGGCGGGGGGTGGAAGGACCGTGACGCCAGCCCACCCCCTGATGGGACAGCCTGTGGCGGGCATTAACAGAAGGTCCGAGCGAGGTAAATCTTCTAACTGCGTCTCAGAGCCCGTACCCACTGAGACTGTCCCTGATACCTGCCAGTCACTGCTGAGGGAGAAATGATGACAGACCGCTCTTTAAAGATGTTGTTGAAAAATCAAATATGACATTCAGACTAGGGCTGGGCGATACGGGAAAAAGTTTATCACGATATATTTTTTTTATATCAGTCGATATCGAAATATATCACAACATAAAAAATGAAATGTAACCGTGTTTATTGGTCGCATGTCTTTTCCAACACAATAATCTCCTGCATCTGTGAGGTCTTTGCTTCTTGGTTCTAATTCAGCACATGATTGGTTCAGAGCGAAGCAGACCCAGAGAAACGCCCCTTTTTATTGGCTATTCGTATAGTCTACTAAAACATGGCAGAAAAGCCCATGTTGTTTAGGCGTTTTCAAGTAAATACCCTTCAGTAATATTGTGTTTTACGGTGATTTTTTCAGATGCTAAACCATAAAAAATTCAAGTTTTCCTCCTCATGCAGCAGAGGATAGTTGGTAAATTTCCTCTTCGCTGTATTTACCAAATATTCACCTTCACATCCCGGGTTTATCGTGTGTAAATGTCAGAAGTGAGTTTGATGATGTTTCACTGTCCAAGTTGGATGCTATTTTGCGTTAATGTAATGTTTACGTGAATATGGCGAATGCTATCTCATCCTACTCGACATTTGGCTAATAAGCTGATTCTTACCGTGGCTGTCAGGAGCCTCATGTGAGATCATTTGTTTAAAATATATGAGTCATAGATCACATGAATACAGTCTAAATACAGTCCTTCATATTCAGAGTTAATCTATATACAGTGTTTATATATAAACTTAAACGTTACCCTTCACATTAGTAGAAGAGGGTCCAACAGGATTTTTTGCGCTCATTGAAGACTCACAACAAGTCGGAAATAACGCTGTGTGTTGTTGTGCTCACACGGGGCGAGTAGAATCATTATTGGCGTATTGATATTAATGATCATGTGAAATTTCAGTAGCGGCGCACATAATTTAGGGGAATGTAGGGGAAACACTGCTGATACATAAGAGTCCGAGGTAGAACTCTTAGATAAATACAAATTTTATTTTTTTTAGGTGTGGCGGATTTTATTTAGCCGTGGCGGTGCGCCACGATCAATTGCAGGTAGGGGAAACCCTAATTTATGTGTGTTAACTTATGTATGGTGTGAGCTGTACTGGCTGTTGTTTTGTATCTGTATCTGCAGGACCACAGTCAAATAAATCCACTAAACTGGACATCTGTATCCGTAACTTTTAACACACTGAACACCTTACCGCTCTAAACCTGCTAAATCCTGGAGAACGAACTTTTCTGCTTTTTAATGCCGACTATCGACAAAACACATCAACCATGTTTTATATTGATATTGAGGGAAATTCATTTTAGATATATATTATTATCGTTTTATGGCCCAGCACTAATTCAGACTATATGGAAAGATCTACTGTGATGACCTTTGATCCTTGAGGGGCTCAAGTAAAAAACAGGAAAGCAGTAAGATCCAGTGATCACAGATACGAGGCTGTTGGACTTCTAACGCTCTAAAAATACCTGAGTGTAACAGGAAGCTCTAAAACCAGCCAGCAACAGGACCAGGCCTCTATTAGAACCGGGCCTCTATTAGAACCGGACCTCGATTACCAAGCTGAGCTCTTTATGGTCCAGGAATGAGGAGGTGATAGAAAGGAAAGGCCTAGAAGGATCTACGTCAGTCCAGGAGCCATTTAGATAGACACAGCTCTCTCTCTCTCTCTCTCTCTCTCTCTCTCTCTCTCACACACACACACACACACACACACACACACACACACACACACACACTGACACACACACACACTCACACCTAAGGAGATATCTGCTCCCAGACAGCAGGAGAATCTCCAATTACGGTGGATGCAGCATCAATTTGAGGCCTAATTATGTGCGTAATGAGCTCACCGTCATACGTCCGCGCCCCCGTCACCGCGCCCACCGCTCCAACCAGCACCCCCTCCTCCCCCCTTCCTCCTCCATCTGAGCGCGAGGTACCTAATTAAAAAACTACATGCGCCGCGGCGCTCTCATCTGATTCACACCGTGGAAATTAATCCTCAGATAAACGCGTTTGACGGACACCCAAAGTGTGGCCCTGAGCTCCGGTTTGGCGGCGCAGCGCTCAGTGAGGCTCTGTTCTGTGTTTGGAGCATCTTAGAAACAGAAAACGTGGCGACAGGTAGGATATAATACTGCTGAATGAAAAGGGTTTGACCGCTCCATCACAGGGTAAAATCAACGAGGAGAAGAGGGAAAATTAACAGATAGATCCAAAAATCCAACCTAAAGAAGTCCGGTTCAGATTTTGAGTCTGAGACACAGAGCAGGAAGGCCGACCTCTGATTGGACAGGCAGGTTTCTCCAGGTTTGGATGATGTGGACAACAACAAAAATGAAGAAAATATCTGAACCAGACCAGAGGGAGTCATCCACAGAGAGAAACAAGAGAAAGGAGTGAAGGAGGTGAACAGGTCCAGGTTCTTCTTCAGGGCCTGATTATCACCTCACTGAGGAGAACATCTACAGATCATTTTAGATCAGAGACACTTTTTATTCATACACTTGTCTATTTTTAACCAAAATCCACCTGTTGTTGAATTTTCACCTAAAAGTAAATTTCTAGAAGATAAAAATATAAAACAGTGATAAATAAAAACACTATAAAACAGTGGTCATTTATAAAAAAGACCACCATCAAAAATAAACATGCACCGATAAATCAGCCGGACGATCGATCGGCGCCGATTTCCTCAATTTTAGGGAATCAATGATCGGCTGATCCTTACACATAAAACCGATTTTATCCACCGATCTTATTTACCTCAGCAAAGGTCTGAAAGTCAGTCAGCCAAAATGACAGGTCACATGTGCACAAGCGTGCGTCAGCGCCAGCAGAGCATGATGAACCGAGCATGTTGAACTCACTACAAGGAAACCCAAAACAGTTTATTGTCGGTGTTTTAAGTTGTTGTTGTTGTTGTTGTTGTTGTTGTTAGTTTGTCCTGTAGATTATTATTCTATGTTCAGCTAAAACAAACACAAAAAGTTTGTTTTGTTCAATGTGTTTCATTAAAATAAGATCGGAGTATTAAAGTTGAATGTTGTCAGTTATTTAAAAAATCGGTATCGGCAGGTCAAGCTTTTTAAAGATCGGTAATTGGCCTGAAAATTGTGATCGGTGCACCCCCTCATTAAAACCATGGAAGAGTCCAAACCCTGTCTGCTGTTATTTCATATGTTGGTCTCTAATAAATCAAAAAGGACCTGGTTTGGTCTGATAACAGACCGGAGCAGCTGTAATCGGCCCCATGTTTGTCGGATTGAAGTGTGAAGTGAAATAAATGTTGTTTTGGTTCCTTGGATGTTTTCTTCTCACACACTCACCTATGGAGGTTTAGTTTAGCCCTTCACCTGCTGAACATTCCCTCGCTGTGCTGTTTTACGCGGATTTATTCATTTATTTCTGCTTGATCCGTGATCTCCACGCTAATGACAGAAACACAACACCAACACCATCCACGCTCACTCTGGGTTCGTGCACGGGTACCTTGGCGTTCACAGTTGACGCCCACGTTCAGCGTCCAATCAGAGGACTGCTTTGGCCTCCTCTGTCCAATCACAGTCAGCTGAGAAGACAAGTGGGCGGGTCCCTAGCAGCTCCAGAGAGGGACGTTTCGATAGTGGAGGAGAGGAGGCTTGTTGGGCACGAATGCCACTCGTTGCGCGTGCTTATAATTTGGAGAGGTGTATGCAGCGCACGGCCCGGTCGCCTTTCCAGGTGGAAATCCACGAGGAGCTGAGACCGAACTTAACTGGGACGACTGGTGAACCCGGTTCAGGACAGGTGAAATTCCCAGCAGGCTGCTGGGAAGGCCACAGGATCGATTTCGATGCAGGGAAATAACCGAGTCAGCACGGGTAGGAGATCCGCAGATATATCCGTCTGAACACGTCCGCGAACTTTTACCGCAATTTACAGAAATATGTCTTTGTTAAAACGAGAGAAAGACCCTGAAACATCACTGAGATTTACTGAAAGACCACCGACACCTCTGAGAAAACGGGCTGCAGGGCCGAATGACCGAGACCACAGCATCGATCAGAACCGGGCCGAACTGTTCGGACCGAAAACACGCAGATTTGTGACTTTAAATCAGTGGACAGTAAATTTAGGATTAAAATTAAAGCTTGATTAAAGAAAATAACTCATGGTAGAAACGTTTACATTCATGATTTAATAAAATAAAAAAGAAATCAGAATCAAGTCAAAGTGAACAGCAAAGGCAGAGAAATTAAAGGGATTGTTTTTAATAAATGTATTTTTATATCCGGTTAAATATTATTTTTTAGTTGTTTCTAAAAATTTTCAAACATTCTGAGATTATCAACATTTATTCCTTTATTTTTACTCTTATTTTTTGTTACCTTTTTCTTCCCCTAGTTCTTTTTTTTATATAAAATATTTCTTGTCTTTTTTTTGTACACATATATTACAGTGAGTTTTCAGAGCCTCTTTAATGTTCCTCTCGGTTTGGAAATAAAGTGTTTTTTTTTCTCTGTCTGTGTTGCAGGTCATGGATGAAGTCCCGTGGATGTTTAACTCCAGCCAGTTGAAGAATAACTGAGGAATACCGAGGAGACGTTTCCCTCTGGATTCACTTTAGTTCAAACTCCAGGTTTGATTTGATTTTGATGATAAATTTAATCATCTGCCATGACAAAGATCTGCCTGATGTGAAGGACTAGACTGGGAGCCGGAAGGATTTCTTCTTCTGTGAGTGAATCGGCGCAGACATGAAGGAGAAATCTAAAACTGCCGCAAGGACTAGACGAGAAAAGGAGAACAGTGAGTTTTATGAACTGGCCAAAATGTTACCCTTACCGTCCGCCATCACCTCCCAGCTGGACAAGGCGTCCATCATCAGACTGACCACCAGCTACCTGAAGATGCGGATAGTTTTCCCTCAGGGTGAGACTCTGAACGCAACACGGTCCGACTTCCTCACTTCATTTTCACCCGAACAGAACCGACATTTCCTGGACCTAAAACATGAGCAGACTTCTAATTTAGTATAAGTTTAAAAAATATAAATATTAAATTTTTATTTGATTTGGATAAAAATGCACCTAAAATAGAAAAAAAAATTCCCCCAGTCACTTTTGTTTTTATTCTAACATATATACTCCTAATGAAAATAACCGTTAATGCGTTAAAATATGAACATTATAAAGAGACATTTAAAGATAGATAATAATTTTAAACCATCATAAATACATTTGAGATTTAAAAATAAAAGCCTAATAAAAATAGACTCATTAGTAACATTGTTAAATAATATCATAAAAGTAGAATATAAATTAACTCATTTGAAGAATTAAAAATAGTTGTTTTTTTATTTTTCTATTATTGGATTGAGTTTGTTTAAATGGAGCAGATCTGTCTCCGTGTTTTACACATGCAGCTGCTCTCTGAAGGTTTTTATTATTCTGCGTGATAAAGATCCAGATGAGTCAGTTTTATGTTTATTAAAAACAGGAAAACACGCCATTACACACGACCAAACTTCACTCTAAGAAAACCAGTCTGACAATCCTAAATGGAATCAGTTCACCACATGTAGATTCAGATGTTTCTGACTACAACAGAGGACAGAAAAGAGCTTCAGAAACAACATCCTTCCGTAGAAAAACAGACTTGTTTTCACTTTATAGTCCTCTTTCTTTCTTTCTTTGGCGGAGTGATATGGAGCTGTCTGTCTGTCTGTCCGTCACTTCTTTTCTTTTTCATGTCCAGCAGAGAGGAGAACATCTGTAATTTAGTGAAACCACATCTTCAGGAGATTTCGGATGAATTTTAATGAGCAGCTCTCTCTTTGTTCAGTTTTTTTAGTGCCAACAACAACAGCGAGAAATATCGGAACAAACAAATCAAAACACGATTTTTAATCTCAACAAGTATTCCGATATTATTCAAAGATATTATTTTAATGCTTTATTTTTTTCTTGATTTTCTTCGTGATTGTTCTCCTCAGATTTAGTGTGTAAACTGCAGCTGTTTTTAGAGGCACGTGGCTCTTGAATACACCTTATAAACACCAACAGATAGGTGAGGGTTCAGGTCCGTGCAGGAGACACGTGCACACGCTTTCACTGCTAAATAGGCCTTTTTAACAGGCCTGAGGGTGTGTGTGTGTGTGTGTGTGTGTACTTGTAGTCTTTTTAACAGCCTCATTGCAGAGGGATTAGTGAGTTTTAAATTAAGGTGCTCTGATCGGTTTGGTAAAAATAATCATTAATTTGATGTAATTTTACAAAAGTCTGACTGTAATAACAATTTTTTGCTTTTTTACATTTTTTATGTTTATTTTATATACAAAGAAAAATACATGAGTATATCAATACGCGACCTAAAAGTAGTGCCATGTTCTGGGCTGCAGGTCTAGGAGAAGCGTGGGGTCATGCGAGCCGAACCAGATCTTTGGACAATGTTGGACGGGAGCTGGGTTCTCATTTACTGCAGGTATACATTTATTGTTACTGTTATTATTATTATTATTGATATGGGGCTGCAGTGAATCTGTGAGAAATATCGAATCTGTGTTGGTGTTTGTTTTCAGACTCTGGACGGTTTCATCTTCGTTGTCGCTCCGGATGGAAAAATTATGTATATTTCAGAGACAGCGTCCGTCCACTTAGGACTCTCTCAGGTCCGTTTAATACTCTCAAGACTTAAACATATTTTATTTTCCATCTATTTCTTCCTCTCGAAAATATCCTTCACGCTTAAATGACTGGAGATCTTTCAACAGGTAGAGTTGACCGGGAACAGTATTTATGAGTACGTCCATCCGGCCGATCATGACGAGATGACCGCCGTGCTGACGCCTCACCAGCCCTACCACTCACACTTCGTCCAGGGTAAAACACTCTGTCAGACATTTTATAACCTATTTGCATTTTTATTACGTCTTAGTGTGTCCAGAATCAGTATGTGGTTATTAGAAATCCGGCACAGATGGGGCGCAGGCGCAGCGCTGTGCGTAACAAGACGCATTATCATCATTATTATTATTATTATTATTATTATTATTACAGGAAATATTCAAGCGTTTTCTTGTATTTTCACCATTTCTACCACAGCAGATACTACATTTTAGGGTCTTAAATCTAGTTACTAAAATATAGTAATTGAAGAATGAGTGCAGCTGCAGAGCCCGTTTCAAAAACAGGAAAACATGTTTTTTTTTCTCTCGTTTTTATTAGAATATGAAGTGGAGCGATCTTTCTTCCTGAGGATGAAGTGTGTGTTGGCCAAGAGAAACGCAGGCCTGACCAGCGGGGGATACAAGGTGGGCAGTGAGACCCTGCAGGTCCTTTATGTCTAATTAAAAGTCAATTAATCCGTGAAATAAATGCATTTAAATTCAAAGAAAAAAACGAAAATTTTAATGGATGAAATTTTTGTCCATGGAGGATTATTTTTGTTTCTACGAATTAAAGAATGTGGTAGAAAAAAACTGCTCATTGACATTAAATATTATTGTGTATCATATGAAATATTGTGATTGATTGATTGGTTGTCAGGTAAATTCAGGTCTCTGCTCTCTCCCAGGTGATCCACTGCAGCGGATACCTGAAGATCCGTCAGTACAGTCTGGACATGTCGCCCTTCGAGGGCTGCTATCAGAACGTGGGTCTGGTGGCTGTGGGTCACTCGCTGCCTCCGAGCGCGGTGACGGAGATCAAACTGCACAGTAACATGTTCATGTTCAGGGCCAGTCTGGATATGAAGCTCATCTTCCTCGACTCCAGGTGAACAGCACTTTTTAATTTCTATAGATGAACTCCTTCTTCAAACACGTCCCCTGTATAATAATAATAATAATAAATAATACGTATAAATCCTGGAGTCACTCAGCATATTTTGAACACAGCTGCTTCACTCCTCTCCAGGGTGGCCGAGCTGACGGGTTACGAGCCCCAGGACTTGATCGAGAAAACCTTGTACCATCACGTCCACAGCTGTGACATCTTCCACCTCCGCTGTGCACACCACCTCTGTGAGTCACAACCTGCTCGTTATTCTTCTGTTCCTCCAGCAGACAGGCTGACCTCTTTGTCCGACAGTAACCTGCTGCACAATCACACAGTCGTAGACGTGGTTAATTACGCTCATCTCTCTCTCTCTCTCTCTCTCTCTTCTGTCTGATTTCCGTCTCCCTCCCAGTGCTGGTAAAAGGCCAAGTCACCACTAAGTATTATCGTTTCCTCGCCAAGCACGGCGGCTGGGTCTGGGTCCAGAGTTACGCCACGATTGTGCACAACAGCAGGTCCTCCAGACCTCACTGTATCGTCAGCGTCAACTATGTCCTCACGTGAGTCCCTCTCAGAAAACGTCTCTTATGAAACAGACTGAAGAACAATAGTTCCATTTTTTCATGTCAAAAGAATCATCTCTGCATAAATCACGGTCTGAATGTTTCGTTTCTTTGTTTTTCAAACACTGAGTTGTAACACTTGATGCATTTTGGACTGAAATCCCTGAAATTACAGCTCCACAAACACAGTAACAAAAGGCCTCAGTGGAAGAACAGCAGCTGCATATTAAATGGTGTTTGCAGAAGGGCCAGCACTGAATATTTAACTAGATTAAGCAAAATCATATCATACACTCCTGTGATCTGTGCTTGAGGCTCTCACGATTGGGTCTTTGTCTCAAAGAAATCCTCCTCTTTATCCCTCTGTAGCCTCTCTGAACAAATCTGCCAAATACTGCAGGCTGCAGGGCTCAGGCAGTTGTGTGTTATGAGAGCACAAAGCACACTAAGGCCCTCTGGGACAGCAAGACAAACACCGGGGTTCAACCCCATCAGAAAACCTCTACTGTCATCATCGATCTGCAGTCCAAGGAAAGCAGAATCGATCAAACGGGGAACTGGGAATCAATAGCTATCTCATAGCTGGAGCACATGTTGGATTTTCCTTGTTAGGTTTTCTTGATCCACATGTCCCTGTCTGTGTTTGTGTGTCCTTTGGTGTGAGTTTGTGAGTCGGCGACACTCTGCCTATCGATTTCCTCGATGCAGTAAGAAGAAAACAAAGTCACTGCATTAAAATGACAGTGAATTTTCACACCCAAATTAGCACTCGCACTGACACTTAGCAAACGCAGCAGAAAAAAGTCGGTTTAGAAAACGAACACAGATTCGATGACAGCATTTGAACCCGGCATCAATCCATTCATAAATCATGTGGAGAGGTTGGCTGGTGGCGTATTTCAGGCAGAAGGCGCTCTGACATTGACCCTGAGGTGGAATTCGACTAACACAGCTGAGTTTGCACAACGGCCCGACATTATTGGCTCAGACAGAAGTCAGGCCGGGCACAGATAGGACGCAGGAGCAGCCACTGCAACTATACCTGCAAGAGCAAATAAGAGTGGCAGTGTGCAGCGGCTCTCCAAACACAGCCTCTCCCCCGAGGTGTTGTACATGAAGAATGGGTCATATTTAGAGTCATATTAAAGAGGCGGGCTGCTCGGGGTCAGGGATGGGCCAGCGGGTTTAAAATGCCAGACAGCTGCTATTACATACTGTTGATGTGATAAGTTAAGAATAGGCTCATGTTTGCTGAACACTTGACACAGGAGCCTTGTACACTCTCTCTACAGTGACACTGGGATGGAGTTCAGCCACAGGACAGTGGGTTAAAGTGTCAAAGATGGAGGCACACTAAGAGATGTCTGTTTAACACACACACACAAAAAAAGATCTTCTTAGAGTCAGATTCCTGGTCAAGATAGTTTATATGTCGACTTCTTTGCTGCTCTTCGACATGCATGGTTGTCCAGCTAAAAGAATGATTAACTTTCTTCACAGCGTCTATTATTGCTCTCAGGAGTGGGCGAACTTAATCCCAATCTTCTCTGTAATGTTGTTTTCACTCTCACTTATCTTGTTTTCATGGCATTTAATCTTTGTAATATGTCTTTGCAGTTATCGATCATATTGCTGCAGGTGAACCATAGATTATGTTACATGAGTAAACTGTATAAGAGAGGACAACATGCAAGAAATGCTGTCTGAATGATTTAAGCAATTTAAAGACAGTGGAATAGTGATAAGACGGTTCTGGACTATTGTTAGATGTATTTTATTGCCATGTAAGATACTGGAAGATTGACATCAATAGTGAGAAGCTGAAGCCTCCCGGTTAACCAGTATGTGGTTGAGTTTAGCTAAATTTAACTGCTGGTGTGTAGGGATGGGAATCGAGAGCCGGTTCTTGTTGAGAACCAATTCCAAATGGTTCAACAACATTTACGTTTTATCTTAACGATTCCTATCTTCTGGGTGCCTTTGAAAACGGTTTTGCGAGTGCCAGTCTACCGGAACGAGAACAGAGACACAGAAAAAAGCATGGTGGACGGTATGAAAAGTAGGCAGAAACGATCTAAAGCGTGGTTTAATTTTACCAAGAGAGACGACAACAGCCCAACGTTTGTGGAGCAGTGATAACATTCAAAGGTGGAAACACCAGCAACATGCTCAAACATTTGTCAACGGGGCACGGCATCAAATACATACATTTTTTTATAAAATCTTATCAATCCCCATCCCTGCTGGCGTGTCCTCTGAGATCCCGAACCTCGTCCTGAGGAGGACATTAACGTATATCCCAGATTCTTTGGCTGTAGCTGTTGAGACATGACCCCCAATCAATCAAAATCCAGCTGTATACTATCCTAAAGGCAATCTAATCAATAACTTGATTGATAATTTGGTCTGGAATAAATTCATCCACATTCCTAAAGCAGCTAGCTCGTCTAAAACGGTTATAACTTTGCTAACTTTTGAATGAAAGTGTTGATTTGATGCTAACATGTTCTGCTCATGTCTTCAGGGATACCGAGTACAAGGGGATGCAGCTGTCTCTGGACCAAATGAGTCCAACCAAGCCGGCCTTCCCCTACGCTGACAGTCACAGTGAAGACAGGAAGAGTACGAAGTCACGTCTGACCACGGCCAAAGCCAAAGCCAGAGTGTCACCCTACCCTCAGGTAAAACAAAGCCTGTATTATGGACTGAAGACAGAGAGGAGACTATGTCCAGGCTTTAAAGTGGTTTTTGTATGTCTGCCTACAGTTTACAGCTTTCAACCCAGAGCGTTCAGAGTCAGACCAAGACAGCCAATGGGGAGGCAGCCCTCTGACAGACTCTGCGTCTCCCCAACTGTTGGATCCCGGTGATGCTTCTGAGGCTTCGTGTGCCTACCGACTGTACCCAGACTCTGGATCCCTGTGCTACGGCCTGGGTCTATCTGAAGAAGATCTTGCCCACGCACAAGCACATCCTCACACCACCACCTGCGACCGCGTGCGATGCCAGAGTGGCCGCTACTTTCTTGGAACCCCTCAGTCAGGGAGAGAGATGTGGTGGGACGCCACACGCTCAGTTCTCTCGCTGCCGAAGACGTCTGCAGAAAACAGCGAGGGCTACGAAATCACATCCTACCATGGAGCCATTCACGGTGAGGTGTCAGGGTTGAGACCACAACCATCTGTCTCTGAAAATAGCTCTGATCTAGCTTGTCCTGGTAGCTGTTTTCCAAATGTTATTATGGGACATGCTAAGTTGTTTACGCCGTCTCTTGCCAGTGTGGCGATTGCTACCATCTGTTCAAAAATTGCCTGCAATTGAAAGCCAAGTTATTCCACACCTCAAACAGGGAATCAACCCCCCCTGTGCCTCTGCCAAGAGATTCAGTCTAACAGACCATGATTCTGTATGCATTTAAAGAGAAAGAAACACACTCTCACATAGGCGAGTGTAGAATGAGCAACCGGCTCTCCAAACACCTAAATAACTCAGGATACAGGATCGCTAGATCATGAGAAGTCTTGGACTTTGTGAATGAAAGCACAAAGAGTCAAATTACTTATTAACAAAATGTCATTCACTGACTGATCTGTTTTGTAATGTGGCAATGTTGAACTCCTCCCACAGGACGGGGTCACTGGGATGAAGACAGTGTAGTGAGTTCACCTGATGGAGGTGGGTCCACCAGTGATTCAGGGGAACGCTACCACGGTGACCACTTTCGAGCAACCCCCAGGGAACCTAGCAAGATGGAGACTCTTATCCGAGCCACTCAGCAGATGATCAAGGAGGAGGAGACTCGTTTGCAGCAACACAAGGTGCCACTGGACGTCTCTGGACTCGCCAAAGCGCACAGCCCATGCTTCACCGCCGCACTACCACACCACTCCCAGCTCACCATGCCCAGCGTTGTGTGTCGAGGCCCTGGAGCCCCAAGCATTGACCTCTCTTCTGAACGCCTTCATCATCGGGATGGTGTTAAAGTGCTTGGTCCACATGATACCGATGAAAACACAACCAGTCCAGCGTCCATGTCTCGTCTCAGCAGCCCCAGCTCAGATGGGATCCCAAGATCAGGCCTTTCTCTTGCCAAAGACTATATGCAGACAGATCTATCACCCCATCCTTCACAGTCCCAAGGAAGCCCGCTGCTCTACGCAGCCCAAGATCGACAATCGCTGGACAGGCAAGCGGCCTACACTTTGACTGGGTACTCCTTGGAGCACCTGTACGACCCAGAGAACCTGAGGAGTTATTCAGGCCTGGCTTGTGGGGGAGTCCAGTATGATGTGGCCTCGCATGTGAGGATGCAAGCCGAACAGATGCAGGGGCACAAGGCCACCTCAGTTATCATAACCAATGGGAGTTGACCATACCTGGTGCATAGATCCTGTTCTCTAGAAAAGGATGTTGCAGGAAGATAGTGCTGGATGCAGAAGCAAACGCTGAGCAGGTGCTTGACAGAAACAACTGGACACTAAAACAGAAAACCCAAACTGGGTCAGTTTGTTCTCAGTGGCTCGTTCAGCCTTCATATTGCACAATTCTCTTCTTCTTCTTCTTATCATCAGAGGATGATCCAAACCAGCGTTTCAGAAGTGACATTGGGTATGCCACTTCACAGAGAGGGAATCTGCTCCATTTCATAGGAGTAAAGTGTTATTTTAATGGTGTTGAACTGAGTTTACCTCCCTGCTAAAGGCGACCCGGGTTCTCAGTCTGGTTAAACATTAAACCAGTGTTTCTATTCCAAATGCCTCACGCACCACCGGCCATGTGAGTTAATCTGTCCTGGACATGATTTCCAAAGGCAGTAAGAAAATGTGTTGTTCCACCGCCCCTTCACCTGAAACCTCCATCAGGAGCGTAATGTTTGACACATCAAGTGCAACATGGAAAAGGCGAGCGTTTTACATTGTAAGATATTAATGTTTCCTGGTATTTATTTGTCAGTGGGCTGTTTTCTGTGTCACTTTTTCCTGTCCAAGTAGAATCTTTACTGGTTAAATTAAATTAGTTTTGGTATTTGGATGACACCAATATTAGATTTTTTAAATAAAGAAGAAACGGAAAAGTCCATCGAATCTGTACAAGTGTGAAATAAACGAGTCATCTCCTGATTCCATGAGGGGTGGGACGCCCTCCCATGAGGCTCACCGATAATATTACACCCGAGTAATCGACCATTTCTGTCTAAATGTAGGCATAGTTTTTCACAGTTTGACTTAAAAAGATACCCCGTCTTTTTTTCAGGAATTATTTTTCCAGTATTACCTCATTACCCAAATAATTAGCATATGTAGAGTATGCTTAAACACAATTATTGAACACAAGATTTTTCTGAGGGAATCCATTTTTTGTCATGACGGCCTAAACGGTGAAAATAGTTGATTTAATTTTCTCTTCAAATATGTCAAATGTCTTTTGTCTCTTATTTAATTTATGATGTAAATATTCTCACACATTGAACTTTTGGGAAAAAGAAGATTATTTATTGATTGGTTTTAAAAAAGTCTCTTAATCTAAATACAGTTGCAAACAAATAACCTCTGTCTCCTTTTTGCTTTTGTACAAATGTTGTCAAACTGCTCACACACACACACCACATAACACACACACACACACACACACACACACACACACACACACACACACAGTTAATACATCTTTGAAAAGTACATTTTTAGATGGACAGATATTAACTTTCAGTTCAAACAGATACTCCTGAAGTAAAGTTTGTATTTCTGTGTTCAGTATATTATTTTTTCAGATATTATTATTAAATAAATGTTATAGAAATATATACGATAAAAAACACAGAAGCTAAAGACAAAGTAGGAATATGAAGAGGTTAGTATATTTTAAATGTGAGTTTCATCTTTTTAGCTGATTATGAAACAGACTGAAATAAAAACAAATGACCTACATAATTAAACGAGAGCAATGTCGAAGGTGTGGTAATCCCACCTTATCTCAGTCATTTTTAGTATTTAACATGTTTAATAGTGAGTTGCATGTTAGATATTAAAAAATAAAGATGCAGAGGCTTGACTTCATTTTGGAAAAGCACCAAAAATTTTGGTTCCTTTCAGACTGAATTCTCCTGAAATCCTGGAGGAGCCTGATTAGCTCTCATCTTTTAACATTTTCATAGGATTCTTTGAAAATGCTAAAGCCAGCGAAGAAGTCGCAAACTCGATGACAAATGTAATTTAAAGAGTTCCCTAATATCTAAACACAGCTGGGCAGACTAAGCCACCTTTATAAGGGGGTCTATTTTCAGCTGTGGATGGATACACATGTGGATCTGACTGTAAAAGGGTCCAAAATTATAGAAAATAGAAAATGTCACATGCCCTGCTCTTTGTCCCCAGTTACAAATGATTGAACGCGGGCACAGTTGCAGGTTTTGACGCAGCAGGTAGCGGCTCAGCGTACTGCAGAGCTGCTGTCACGTTGTAAATGGATTTGCAGCCGCACGTTCCTGTTGTTTGAGCTGTTGAACCTGCACATTTAGCCGCTCTGACCTCTGCTCTCAGCCAATTTGGCTGCCATGTATTTTAATATATGTAAGTTATTCACATGTAGCCAGAAAGCTGGCCGGCCTCCCTGCCTGGCTGACTGACCTGGACACGATCTGGGCCACGATGCAGAGCTCCCATCAGTCACCGCTGACGTGACCATGTGATGCTCTGCCAGATTTCAGTGCTGCTGTCATTCCAGGAGGTACAACTACTACAACTGCTGTTGACATCACTGAGGTTTACAAGGGTGTGTGTGTGAGTGTGTGTGTGTTTATTGCCCAGATACTTCAGTAATGGGAGTTTTTTTTTCTTCTAAACACTGGGGCTTTTGCCTGACGTGCCCTGAAGGTTTTCACATGTAGAGTCAGCTACAAATGTGGCCAAACACTGGGCCCTCTGCCCAGACTCTGCACACTTACTTACACCTCCCCACCCTCCTCACCCCTCCACCCGAGACCCTCTCCACCCACCTCAGTCTGCTGAGATGAAACGGAGGATTTTATAGCCTCAAAGACCAACATGAGCAGATTTCTCACATGTGTAAAAAAATTCAACAAAAGCAATGACTGTGATTATTTTCAGCCGAAGTCAAAGCAGAAAATAATCCGTTAACTGTTTACTAGTTAGTTTTTTTTTTACAATAACCCTTCACATGTTACTCCTGCACCTCCACTGAAGTCTATTTTTGTGTAAACTTCTGTAAATTTCTACAACAGTTCAGGGACAGTCTGCGCTGAAATATTCCAGGATTGATATTTACACAAATATTTCACAGCATCAGATTAGAAATGAGGCTCAAGACTCTCATTTTTAACCAGGCTTTTCACTAACTGCCTTTTTATATTTCTCTTACTGCAAATGTTCATTTTAATCAAAGTTCTTAATGTTTCTTTTATGTCATTGTCTGTTTTTAGTCTTTTTCTTAATTCCCGTCGTAGAGGTTTTTACTTCTTTTACCCCTTTTCTAAGGTAAAGAGCTTTTACTTATCCGTTCATTTTATTTAATTTAATTTAATTTTATTGTTTTAGTCCATCAGGTTTTACTCTTTCTTTTTATCTCCAGTGTTTCCTAAAGGTCGCTCTTTCCTGTCTTGGTGTCAGCCCATATCTCTTAAACAATATATCTTAAATTCTCACACTGTGTGCGCTTGTGTGTGTATATGTGTGAGTGAGTGTGTCTTTGTGTGTGTGTCTTTGTGTGGGTCCATGGGTGGGAGGGTCGGGTTTTATTGTTGTTAAATATTGTTTTTAGCCTCTGTGAGGAACTTTGAAATACATGTTTTTGTCTGAGAAGTGACATAAAAATAAAGTTAAATATGAATTTAGACCCTCGAGTAGAAAAGTTTAGATTCTGGTTTCAAACAGGAGCTGCGATAATATGTACTGTGGATGTGCCGAGTTGACTGTATTTGAGCAGTGCTTACAGATTATTTCAGTTCAATTAAAATTATTTTTCTGATCTCTCTGAGGGATATCTTTATGGAGCAGCTTCTACATAAAAACAAATAAAACACAGTGACATATGAATTATAAATTAGATTCAAGAGCTAAAATATGAAGGAGAGTCTAAGATGAGGATTTTCAGAGTTTACACATTTCAAGAAAAAGCTCTCAGCAATGAAAACAAAGGGAAGAAAACAGTGCATCATGTTTTAAGTAAATTAATGAATCACCGTTAAACAAATAAAAAAAATTGTAGCAAAATGACCTATTTCACTGCAAATCAACAGTATGAGAGTTTCTGCACATGAAGCATTAGCAGTTAAAGGAGATATATCTGTGTTGTGGAGTCGACTCCATGTGGACAACAGAATTACTGGAGTGTAATATCAGAGCAGTGAAGGAGAAATGGATCCTAACTCTCCAAAAGCCTCAGAACACATTGGTGAGAATCTGCCTGACTGATTTCATACGTCAGCTAAAGTGTCCCCTGATCATGGCTCTAAAATTCAACCAGGTGCTTTGTGAGGAGGAGTCAACTTTACGCTGACGTTGCATCAGACCAGTCAGGGAAAAATGTTTCTACATGTTTTTTTTGTGTGTGGGTTTTTCAGTCACAACTTCAAGAGTGACGCTCTCCTACAGTTCCTCATCTTCTGAACTTCACAGCCTTTTACATGACGAACCTACGGAGCATGCTCGGATTTGTTTCCTGCCCCGCTGCTGGTCACTCACCTGCAAATGAATCAGCCGGGGGCGACAACAGCACAGCACCTGGGAAAATCATTGAAGCGGGGCACGGAGCGACACCTCTGCAGCAGACCTCACTGCACCAGAACACATTTAGATGTTCTGATCGGGTGGACCAGGATATTGAGGTCATCCGGTCGATTTGATTGGCTGAGCCTGGAGACCGAGGTCAGTCTGCAAATTGGAGAGGAAATAAGGTTTGTCTTTGAGTCGCAGCAGCAGCTGATTAGGGCGTGCTGCTTGGAAAAGATCCGGCTAATTAAAATCAGGGTAAAAAAAACAACAACCGTGCACTTTAAACAGTTATAATGAAGACTTTGACTCCGACTCTCTTTTCTGATTTCATCCTTTTGATTTAGTGTTTGTGACGAATCTGAAATGTGGATGTGGATCTATATTCTTCTGCTATTAACCAATCAAACGATCAATACATGAGTTTGTCTCAGCGTCCAGCCTGTCTGAGACTTAAAGAAACATGTCTAATAATAAATCCACAAAAACACTTTTGGGGCGTTAGAGATAAATAGATTATAATCTATTATAAAATTATAGATATGTTAGAATATAAAAGAAGACTGAAAGGACTGCATCTGAAACAGGCGCCAAAGAGTAAAACACTATTTTCCTTTTTTAATACACACAATCTTAGGTGAGCC